TGCTGGTACAGTTCTGTGAGGAAGGCAGTACCTTCAGCAATGTCTTGACAGGCTTGGAGGGTGCCTAGGTCCGGTAGGTGCTGCTGGGAGGCGGGCACTTCTTCCAGGATTCTGGCCATGCGTGCCCACCTGCCCACTTCAGAGCCTTTGCGGGCAGTGGAAGGGCGCTGCAAGACTAAGGGTCCCCATTGGGCCTGCACACACCAACCTCTGCCAGTCCTCGGTGCTTCGTGGCAGTGCTCCAGGCTGGCCGCCCAGGTCGCCAGCTGCCAGGTGCTCTGGTCCTCTTGGGCACAGGTCCTGTCCATTATGGCGAAATGGGAGGGTTGGACCTCTCGCCATTCTTGGTTTTTGAGGTCTGCTGTGAGTTTCGGGAACTGGGGAAGTTTCCAGGACTTCCATTCGCTGGCACCGTCCTTGACTTTGAGGTGCAAGGCTGCGTGTGGTTTCCACGGGACTGCCCAGGTTGCAGACAGATCCACCAGGGCTTCCAGGCTCCTACTCACCACCCCAAAGTCCAGCTCCGCCCCATGGTTGCATGTAGCTTCTCCAGTGGCTACCATCCGCCCCCGCATCACCTGAATCAGCGCTGTGTCCTGAACTTCCGTCGGGTCCAGGTTCCAATCCCCCAAGATGATCCAGGGCTCCGGGAGGGTTCTCACGAAAGCCACCAGAGAGGATAGCACCTCTGCATTCGTGGGACCATTCAGGCCTTCCGTGTCCCTCAGGTAGAGGGACACAATCGTGTAGTCCCACCTTCTTTGTCTCAGACCCACGGCTGTGTAGCCCGCCCCTTTGCATTGGTAGGTGGCTTTTTGCCACACTCCGCTATTTTTGGGAAAGGCACAAGCAGTGCCCCCCAACCTTGTGCCCTTGTCCGACAGGGAGGCCGGCTCAGCATAGAGATCCCATCCGAGGGATTGCAGTGTGGCTCGCCTGCCATGCAGCAGTTCCGGTGTGAGGTGGGTTTCCTGCAGACACACCACCTTGGCTTTGGAGGAGGTCACCCACTCCAACGCCCCGTTGTTGAAACTGGTGACATTGGCACTCATGATGCTTAGATACTGGTCAGGCGAGGCGGAAGGTTTAACCTTCTCATGGCTGGGCTCTTCTGAGTCGGTGCCCTCGCCGTGTGCAAGGTCTTCCTCTCGTTCCTGCTGACCCAGCACCTGTTCCGGTGTCAGGGGCTCCTCACTCTTTGGGAGCTCAGAGGCTATCACCTCCTTTGCCTGTTGGATGGCTTTCCCGGTGACATCCTCTCCTTGCTCTAGGGCACGCAGGACCATCCTGCACCAACCCCAGGCCAGGGAGTCCTCCGCCATCACCTCCTCTTGGGCTTCGATGAAGCTTAAAAGGGTGGCTTCCTTCGCCTGGAAGGGGCTCGCTTGGTCTTCCAGGAGGCTGACCACCTCCTGCCATGTCATCTCCGAACCCAAATCTTCTGGGCTGCAGAGGGAAGGTATCACCTTCTGGGCTTCATCATTACATTGTGGTGGGGGGGGGCCTTGGGTAACCAGAGGGTTCCCATCAGGGCTCACCTCCCACAGTGGCTTCATTTGTTCTCCGTCTGCTGGTGCCTCATCATCTGTAAGGTCCAGCTTGAAAAACTTTGGCCCTGTGATCGGAACGCTTTCTGGCGACTCCTTTCCAGGCCGACAAAAGTGGCTGGGCTTCTGCCAGCCTTGCTCACAACCACTGCTATCTGCAGTAAGTTGTTTCCCCAAGGCCTCCCTCAATCTTTTCCCATGTAGATTGATGTGAGCACCTCGCTTGTAATAGTCAGCACATGCAACTAGGAACTGCTGGGCAGTTCGCAGCATGTGTTCCAGCCCTGGGCTGGGGTCGCACATTGGCTCTGTGGGGCCCTTGCTTTGGGGCTCCAGGCCCCACACGCCGAGTCCCTAGGCCACCGGGCCCAACCCCGGCGGGGCATTGGCATTGCCGGGAGGCATCCCCTCCTGGGTTTGCTCCTCAAGGCCCGGAGGGGTGGGGCCCTCCTGTGTGCGACGCCTCTTGGCTTCTCTCTCCGCCTTAATTTCATGGAGTTTCTTCTCTTGCTCCTCGTTGAGGCTTACCCCCAGTTCATGGAGGATGCTGTCGACCCCCATGTCCGCAGCGGATTCGCAGAAGACTTTCTCTTTGAGCAGGCCTGAGCTTGCTTCGACTGCCTTTTGTGCCCTCTCGGCCTGCTCATTCAGCACGATCATTTCTTGTAGAAGCTGCCTTAATGACTCCTTCGCCATGTCGATGCGCTTCTGCAGGCCAATCTTTTGATCAGCAATGTGCTTGAGCTTGCCAGCTGCGCTTTGCCAGCTCTGGCTGGCCTGGCTTGCAGCTTGGGAGGGCGTCACCTCCTGGCTGGCCTTGAGGCCCTTCAGGCAGGCTTTGACCTCCTCCGGCAGGGCGGCTTCATGCTTCTGGCACAGGTCGGTGAGATCGTCCACCTCTTCCTTGACCTGTGCCTTGGGTGGCTTGTACCCTGCCTCCTTGAGGTTCTTTTGCACCTCTTCAGGCACACTGTCCCACGCCACTCCAAGGGCTTGCAGGACTTTGTTCGGCAGTGGTGCTTTCGGAGTCTTGGGCTTCTTTGGTGGCTGCCAGTAAGCGGCCTCAGCGACCGTAGGCCATTGTGGCTTCCACTGGCTCCAGTTCTGTCTCGCCTTGCGAATGCTGTTTGCCCAGGGTGTTCTGCATTTCTTGCAGAGCATGTGCGGCTGAGCCTTGTCCGCCCAAATCCATCCTGTGCAGCTTTTGCCACTGCAACAGATGTACTCGCGGGGGGCCATGGCTAAGAGGAAGGCACCTCTGGGCAAACTGTCCTAGGCTGGCTACCAGGCTAGGAAGGTTGAGACCTCCGAAACTTCCCTCAGGCTACTCCTTGAGCCAAAATGGCTACGGAAATGGAGTTCGAACCTGGGTTCAACCTGGGTTCGAACTAATTGAAGGGTGTGAGTTGTTCTGGGGTTCTCTGAACCTGGGTTTAAACCTGGGTTAAACCCAGGTTTGTTGAATCCAAGTTCAACTCAGGTTGAACCCGGGTTGAACCTGGGTTGAACCTGGGTTGAACATGGTTGAACCCGGGTTGAACCCAAGTTGAACCCAGGTTGAATTCAGGTTGAACCTGGGTTCAATTCGAAACCTAGGTTGAACCTGGGTTGAACTTGGGTTGAACCTGGCTTCCGTAGCCATTTTGGCTCAAGCCATTTTGGCTCAAGTTTTCGGCCCAAGGAGTAGCCTGAGGGAAAGTTTCGGAGGTCTCAGCCTTCCTAGCCTGGTAGCCAGCCTAGGACAGTTTGCCCAGAGGTGCCTTCCTCTTAGCCATGGCCCCCCGCGAGTACATCTGTTGCAGTGGCAAAAGCTGCACAGGATGGATTTGGGCGGACAAGGCTCAGCCGCACATGCACTGCAAGAAATGCAGAACGCCCTGGGCAAACAGCATTCGAAAGGCGAGACAGAACTGGAGCCAGTGGAAGCCACAATGGCCCACAGTGGCTGAGGCAGCTTACTGGCAGCCCGCCAAAGAAGCCCAAGCCTCCGAAGACATCACTGCCGAACAAGGTCCTGCAAGCCCTTGGAGTGGGATGGGACAATGTGCCTGAAGAGGTGCAAAAGAACCTCCAGGAGGCAGGGTACAGACCACCCAAGGCACAGGTCAAGGAAGAGGTGGACGATCTCACCGACCTGTGCCAGAAGCATGAAGCCGCCCTGCCGGAGGAGGTCAAAGCCTACCTGAAAGGCCTCAAGGCCAGCCAGGAGGTGACGCCCTCCCAAGCTGCAAGTCAGGCCAGCCAGAGCTGGCAAAGCGCAGCTGGCAAGCTAAAGCACATTGCTGATCAAAAGATTGGCCTGCAGAAGCGCATCGACATGGCGAAGGAGTCATTAAGGCAGCTTCTACAAGAAATGATTGTG